TCCTGTGAATGAGCAGAGGCCTTCAGCCTGTTGTCAGATCCATCAATTCTGGATTGTCAGTTCCCACAACTTATGAGTCATTTCTTTGAAGTAAATTTCTCTCCATATATGAGGTTTCAAAAAGCTTGTGGAAAAATTCCATTATCTTTTAATTTCATTTTTACACAAATATTTTGAAGCACCTCATATGCATACATATCAATGGTTTTGCTCCTCTACAGAACTCAAGATTAAGACAGGGCCATATACATATTTTAGATAGTTTAAACAGCCAAAGAAATGGTTCTTTACCTTCACTAAACATCAGATTGATAGGGGAGTTTCAAGAAATGAAATGTCTAGGTTCATATAGCTAATTAGTCTGGGGTAGGAACCTAACTCAAAAAGCAGCGCAGCTAAAGAGTGAGAACCACTGGTCTAAATACAGGAACCCTGGTGGTGTAGTGGGCTATGCATTGAGCTGCTAAGTGCAATGTCAGTGGTTCAAACCCACCAGCTGGTCCTTAGGAGAAAGATGAGGTTGACTATGCCTGCGATTTTTTTTTAAATATCAGAAACTCAAAGGGGCAGTTCTACTGTGTCTTTCAGGGACACTATGACTTGGAATCAACTCAATGGCAGTTGACATCTTTTGGTTGGTTCTGTGTTTGATCTAGGTATGTAGTTCCCAGTTTCTGTTATGACAAAGAAATCTCTAATTCTGAAGTCAGTTTCTTTTCACTCCACTATCCGAAGTAACTTCTGAAGTTAGTAAGAGCATCATATACCATATTTGTGTACAGGGCACTAGTAATAACTTGAGCAGGACAGGTATTTGAGTTATGGGGCTTTTCTGTATAAGGCAACTATAAATTTGTATCCCTTCCATCTAAATGCCAGTAGAGTGTCCAGTTATTGCGACACTCTAAAACACCTCTATATACTTCCAAAGGCCCACTGAGGATCTGAGAAGCACTGCTTGGTTTCAAAGGCAATAAACATCTCAGATAAAATTAAGCCCTCAAATATTTACTTTTGGTTCCTTTGCCAAAGCTGTTCCTTGAGTGGTATAGAGGTTTATCAAGGATCAATATACTGATTTTTATTTTTAAAATGGGTGTTATCCCTGAGATAAAAATTAGGAAAAAATGGTAAACACTTGAGTCAAATTAAGCACAGCATTTATCGTTTCAGTCCCATCTGGCATCAAATTCTACCTTGACCCTTAGATCTCTAGGATGAAAAGTTAGAACCTGGTAAACGATTCCAACTTAAGCTTCCCTCACACTAAAATCTGTACCCCCCCTCCAACTAAAACAAAACAGAACAACACAAAATTTAAAAAATAAAATAAAGCATAAAAACATATGAGCAGTTATTTAAGATCGAATGTTTTGGCTATCATGGCGTGTGTCTTCTTTTGAAAGTAATACTCAAAGGGAAAAGGATGTGTTGTGGGATAGGATTACAAATTAATTGTGAGCCCTCCCACCCCCAATCCCAACTACGAGAGCAGACCCCACTCCCTGCAGAAGAACTTACTTCAGAGGGCAGCACTGAAGCTACAGCTCGGGGAGAGGGTCATGTCTGATCAGAGCACACAGGAGCTAATGAAGCGGGAGGAAGAGAGAATGGAGAACATCTGGCCCACCAGGTCCTGAGGATAATGATATTCCTGCTCAGAGCAGCCAAAGCACAGAGAGGACCATTGGGCTGGCCCCAATGCTGACCCATAGCGCTACGGGGGACAACACCGGAGACACAGTGCAGGAATTGCACCTGCTCTGACCCCACCACACTGATGTGAAATACTAAGGGTGTGCAACGGAACAGCAAGGGGGAACAGAGCAATGAAGTCCCAGGGAATAATACCAAAAGTAGACTTTGGGGCCAGGGTGTGGCACCTGATCAGACTAGACCAGAAAACACTCCTAAAGTCAACAAACAGACCTTGAATTATTTACCAGCTTTTCTTTTTTTGTCGTTGTTTTTTGTCATTGTTATTGTTGCTGTTGTTGTTTTATTTTCTTTTGTTGCTTTGCTTTGCTCTGTCTTGTTTTTTGTGCATATTATTATCTCTGCAGGTCTACTTAGATAAGTAGGCGGGAAAACAATCTGGAGGAGAAAACAACGGGACCTACAGTTCCGGGGAGACATGGGAGAGGGGGAGGTAGGGGAAAGGAAATGGGTGTTAACAAACCCAAGGACAAGGGAACAAGTGATCCAAAAGTGATTGCAAGGAGGGTATAGGAGGGCTTGATCAATGGAATGCAACCAATAGGAATTAATGAAACCCAAATAAAGGCTGAACATGATAGTAGGACAAGAGGAAAGTAAAAGGAAATAGAGGAAGGAGCTAGGAGGCAAAGGGCATTTATAGAGATCTAAATACAGACATGTACATATGTAAATATATTTATATATGATGAAGGGGAAATAAATCTATGTGCACACATTTATAGGTTTAGTATTAAGCAAGAAGATGGACATTGGGTCTCTACTCAAGTACTCTCTTAATGCAAGAATGCTTTGTTGTAATAACCTGGCATTCCATGATGCTCACCTTCCCGACACAATCGCTGAAGACAAAGCGGGTGCATAAGTAAACGTGGTGAAGAAAGCTGATGGTGCCCAGCTATCAAAAGATATAGTGTCTGGGGTCTTAAAAGCTTGAAGATAAACAAGTGGCCATCTAGCTGAAAAGCAACAAAGCCCACTTGGAAGAAGCACATCAGCCTGTGTGATCACGAGATGTCGATAGGACCAAGTATCAGGCAGCATCAGAAAAAAAAAATCATATCATTGTGAATGAGGGGGAGTGCACGGAGTGGAGACCCAAAGTCCATCTGTAGGCAACTGGACGTTCCCTTACAGAAAGGTCACAGGGAAGAGATGAGTCAGTCAGGGTACAGTATAGCACCAATGAAACACAACTTTCCTCTAGTTCTTTAATGCTTCATCCCCCCCACACACAACATGATCCCAATTCTACCTTACAAATCCAGCTAGACCAGAGGATGTACACTAGTACAGATAAGAGCTGGAAACACAGGGAATTCATGACCAATAATGACAGTAGCCATACCAGGAGGGGAAGGGGAAGGTGGGGGAGAAAGGGGGAACCGATCACAATGATCTACATACAACCCCCTCCCAGGGGGACAGACAACAGAAAAGTGGGTGAAGGAAGACATTGGACAGTGTAAGACATGAACAAATAATAATAATTTATAAACTATCAAGGGTTCAGGAGGAAAGGTGGGGGAAGGAGAGGAAAAAATGAGCTGATACCAAGGGCTCAAGTAGAAAGAAAATATTTTGAGAATGATGATGGCAAAAAATGTACAAATGTGTTTGACACAATGGATGTATGTATGGATTGTGATAAGAGTTGTATGAGTCCTCAATAAAATGGTTTAAAAAAAGAAATGCCTAAAAATTAAAAAAAAAATTGTGACCCTTTACAAGTTACATTCCTGGGTTTCAAAAGGCCATTCCACTCTTGTGGTAGACCAAAGATTTCCCACATTTTAGTCTTTATCTTGGGGCACAAAATATTTTTTTCCCTTTTAAAAAAATCATTTTATTGGGGGCTCGTACAATTATTATCACAATCCATCCATCCAGCCGTTGTGTCAAGCACATTTGTACATTTGTTACTATCATCATTCTCAAAACATTTGCTTTCTACTTGAGCCCTTAGTATCAGCTTCTCATTTCCCCCCTCCCTCCCTACTCCCCCTCCCTCAAGAACCTTTGATAATTTATACATTATTATGATTTTGTCATATCTTACACTGTCCAACGTTTCCCTTCACCAACTTTTCTGTTGTCCATCCTCCAGGGAAGAGGTTATATGTAGATCCGTGTAATAGGTTCCCCCTTTCTACCCTACCTTCACTCTACCCTCCTGGTATTGCCACTCTCACCATTGGTCCTGAAGGGGTTACCAGTCCTGGATTTCCTGCATTTCCAGTTCCTATCTGTACCAACATACATCCTCTGGTCTAGCCAGATTTGTGAGATAGAATTGGGATCATGATAGTGAGGGAAGGAAGCATTTAAGAAGTAGAGGAAAGTTGTATGTTTTATTGTTGCTGCCCTACAACCTGACTGGCGCTTCTCCTCCCCATGACCCCTCAGTAAGGAGGGGGGGGTGGGCACAAGAAATTTTAATGGTCATACCTACCACCATGTGACTGTCTACAAGTGCATGACTACAATGGCCTGTTGAGTGGCACTGGTACATTACAGCTCATTGGTCAAGTGCCAATCTCTCTTTCTTGGTACATGGAGCCTTTTGGGCCATGGAGCCTACCGAGGCTACTCTGATATAGGAAAGAACTAGGATAGTTAGAGTCACTCAAGAGATAGCGTAATGCCTAGAAAGTTGGTTTCCCTCAAGAAAAATGCCACTGGCCTTGGATTGGGATTCAATAAAATTACTTTTTCTTTTTTCTATTTTAACTATAGATCATATTTTAAACATATTTCCTGTTGTGGAGGAAGTTCTGTTAAGCAATTTATCATAAAGGGCATTACTTCAGGCAACAAAGCTGATGAAGAACATAAGGCTCTAGGTATAATGATAATCATAGGCAGAAAAGGCTAGTTTGGTTGCAAAGCTGGTCAAACACAGTTGTTTTCTTAATGATCCAAGGCCTGCTATCATACTTCTTTAGCCAGAGTGCAGCAACACTGCAGCAAATAACTTAAGTTTCTTTGAGGTTCATTGTATATTTCACACATACGTATTGGCTGTCAAAATTATCTCATAGCAAAGAAGTTTTTATAAAGCTATATATTTGTTGGAAATGCAGTCAATTGGGGAATATTCAACTTCTGAATTATTATAACAATCAACAGAAACTATTCTGAGACTTAGCAGACTTTTATTATCAATCTGGCCAGTGATTTATCAAGAAGAATACAAACAAGGATGTGATTGAAAGAAGCAAAAATGAATGACTTATACCAAAAGTTAAAAAATAAATATATATAAAATCATAATAATTCCTTACCTGAAATTTTAGTTTTGGACTCCTTAAAGAATTTTGTAGTGGTAAGATGAGTTGTCTTTTTAAAGAAATAAGCAGTCTTCAGTGTTTTTAGGGCATTAGTTACTACAGAAATTAAACTTCTTTAACGGCTTGTCTTGAATGATGAACAAAATAAACAAACTGAAAAATACTACAATGAATGGTAAATGATGAAGGACTTACAGCACAAAAAACAGTGTGAAAAGGAAGACAAGTTTAAATATTGTAGTGTAAGAAAGTGATGAAAATAATACAAGAATGAGAATAAGTAAAATGATAGGCTGGAACATCTGAGAAGGTAAATGCAAAGACAAAGAGAATAGTTAATTAATAATAATTTCAAATTAAATCCATACCAACCAATCTCAGTATTCACTCAATTTAAAAGAAAGACCCACCTACCCACCCTTTAAGCCTATATTTACCACTGGTACCTAGCTGAAAGCCTATTATTACCCAAGAAGCTTGCTCTCACTCTGACTTCCATTTTTATTATACCCACTCTGAGAATATAATATAAAAAACACATGCCCACATTATTCAAGAAATTGGCAACAAGAAAATGAATTAATTAAAATGCAGCAAGTTATATCATCAAACTGATTTTTTTCCATAGCAAAGCAGAGAAGCGTGCAAGATAAATAAGTAACAGAATTACAGCATGTCTCTGTGGCTACTAACAGCCAGTTCATCTCCGTCCCACTCCCACTTCTAAGCTGATTTTTAAACACCAACGCCTTGTATCTCCTTAAAAGCCATGCATAGTTGTTCTTTCGTTGGTTCCCCAATGGGCAGCGAGCACCATGCTAGCAAAGGTGAAGCAATGCCTGTTTGGTTTCTTATGTGGTTGATTGGCAAAGCACATTGGTGTTTAAGTGGCCCCGTACCTGGCCAGAGCAGCTCCGTCCAATTCATCAGGTGTGCCGCTACGAATCAGGACGAAGGAAAAATGCCTGTCTTCCCTGTTCCTGCTACTGTTTCCCACAGATGGTGGAATTAGTATTGTCCTCTTAGAGCTACAGTGCAACGCTCTTTCCCTGCTCCTACGCTTCCCCACCATGGAGTGAGTGGACAATGCTTTTCTCTAGGAGTAACGACCATGCTACTTTAACCTGTAGTGAGACACTCTTCCATTTGCTCCTTTTGGTGGGGCTTTAGATACAACGTCATCTCTCTTGCAGCACGGGTTTCTATATCTCATCAGTAGCTCTGCATCGATTTTGTTGTCTTAACCTCATCTTATATCTTGTTGGGGGTACTACAAATTTACAAACGAAGATTGCCATTCAGTTTCCTTGCAGCTTGATCTGTTGAACAAGTAGTTAGCGTAATATAGGACGTGTTGATTTTCTAAAGATAAGATGTTTAAAACAAGCTTTCGTCTTTACGCCCCCCCAAAAAACAGGGAGACAGGGGGAGGGGAGAATCATTTAAGATGGCAAAAACCTGGAGAAGGGGCAGCGTAAAAGAATAGGCACACCGTGGGCTTCAGAGCCCAGCCAGAACGGTTCCCTCAATGAGCGGGGCGTGGAGGTGGGTGCCGGGGCCGCCCCACCAGCGAGCGCAGCTGGGGGGCCAGCTAGCCATGGCCAAGCCTCGCAATAGGCAGAACTGTACCTGACTCACGGATATGGGCTCCTCGGCGCTGCGCTCCTCGGCCGACTTGGGCACCTCCAGGCGGTCGATGAAGGTCTGCAGCTCCTTGCGGAAGGCCTTCATCTGCGCATTGATGCGATAGAGCAGCTCGTGCTCGCGGATGCGGCTGCCGTCGTCCTCCTCGTCCATCAGTCCGAACAGGTCCCCGTTGGCCACGTAAATCCGGGCTTCGGTGATGATGGTGCTCGTGTCGGCGATGAGCCGGTCGATGGTCTTGCCCAGGCGCTCGGCCTCCGAGCGGATGTCCTTCAGCTGCTGCCGGTCGGAGAAGCTCTTGGGCCAGGGCCCGGGCGCCGCGGGGTAGAAGGAGCGGGTGGGCGTGAGGCAGCGGATGTTGCGCACCTCCTCCGAGTCGCTCTCGCCGCCGATGGGCCCTTCGCGCTTGCGGTGCGGCGGCCGCGCGTCGTCGTCGCTCTCCTTCTTGCCCGCGTCGCTCTCGGCGTCGCTGTCGCGGGGACTGCCGCGGATGCCCAGGTGCGAGGCCAGGTCGTAGCGCTGCATGTTGGACATGAGCACGCGGTTCTCGTACTGCAGCTGCATGACCTTGCCGCTGAGCTCGTTGATCTGCAGGCGCGCCGCCTTCAGCTCCTCCTGCAGGGCCTCTGTCTTGGCGCTGTCGTGGTGCCGCGCGCTGTCGTGGCCCGCCGACTTGTACTTGTACTTGTTGAGCTCCGCCGTGATGCGCTTGTTCTGCTCCTCCAGGTCGGCCACGTTCCTCCGCAGCAGCTCCGTCTCGTCCTCCACCAGCTGCAGGTGCTGCCGCAGCTCCGACAGGGACTCGCTCTGCTCGCGCAGGAGGGGGTTGGCCGAGCCGTTGAAGTCCTCGCCTCGCAGGTCGTCCAGTTCGGCCTTCAGGCCGCGGTTCTCCACCTCCAGTTCCACGATTTTCCTGCCCAGGATGTTGGCTTCTTCCTCCACCAGCCTCAGCCGTAGCTTGAGTTCAGCCTCCCTCGTGCTTGGCGGGCCCCCGGCTTCTCCTTTGGGCAGGGGGCTGTCGAGATCCCCATAAAAGGATCGGTATTTCTGGAGCTCGTGTTCGAATCGGTCCTTTTCCTTGTCAATCTTGGCCATTTTCTTTCTCATCAAAGCGGCTTCTTCCTTGACGAACTGCAGCTGGCATTTCAGATCTTCACTGTCCTCCTCGTTTGGGGACAAGAAGGAGAGGGGATTAGAGAGCATATTTATGTAAGATGAAAGAACAATCTAAAAGGACGCCTGCAAGAATCATTTCCTTTTCTTGTAACGAAAATTCAAGTCAAGGGTTCAAAAGAGGATGCTGTACATTTTCTCCAAGTCACCCAAATTCTGTGGTCATTTGAGCATTCGTGCAAATATCCCACTCAAAGCAACCTATGGGGCAGAGCAGAACTGTCCATAGGGTTGCCAAGGTGGTGAATCTTCACAGCAGCACACTGCCACATCTTTCTTTCCAGGGAGGAGCTGATGTATTTGTACTGCTGAGTTATGGTTAACAGCCAGCCAAATGCTCTAACTACTGCCCCACCAGGATCCCCTGAAACAGCACGACACCCTAGAAACAATACAAAGCAAAAGGAATGGGGGGGTGGGAGGAGCCTGAGGAAACAAAGGAAAACTGTGGCCAACAGTTTACAGACTTTACTGCAGGTTCCACTCATATATCGCCCCCGTGAACATTACAGGCAGTCACACGAAATTAGTGAGGGAACTGCACCGTGTAACGCCCACATCAATTTTGTAGAACTCTAGTGTTACAGGCTGAAACTGCCTGGGCCACTTGGCAGTCATTTCAACAGCACTGCTTCCCTGCGTTTGCCTGGCTTTTCCACATGGTTCGAATGTTTCTAACTAATAAATAGAAACATATCCTGGAAAGGTGATATGGTTAGTTTGCAATCAGTGTCATTTATTGAGCATGTACTTTGGACCAAATGACGTGAAATTATTGACACATATCACTTAATTTAATGTGCAGAGTAAACATCTGTATATATTAAAATCTGTGGTTTAAGGATGCTAGTAGGTCAAGGTCACACAGCTAATTCAGTTCTAACTGGCATCATGCTCAGGTTCATTATCATTTGCCTTACATAATCTGCTCTCTAGCTTTCCTTAAAACCAACCTCACTGCTGTCGAGTCAATGGTGACTCATAGGGACCCTTATAGGACAGGGCAGAGCTGAGATTGTAACTCTTTCCAGAGGCAGAAAGCCCTGTCTTCCTCCCCCAGATTTAATAAAGAGCAAAAAACTTAAAAGACCTTTTCAGCAGGAAAAGATTTACATAGGAATGGGCATCCAAGGAGAAATTGATAGGTATTCTGTCTAGGTCATTGTGACAATAAGGTGTATTCCCATTAGTCTGAAATGCCCAGAGTCAGTCATTTCTGGGGAGTAGATAAGGAAATTATTGCCGTAGACATTCCTTTCATGTTTCTCAAGACAACCTTTGAGTCCTAATCACTATAGCTAAATTAAAAAGCACAGGAGAGGTGAAACAGCAACCGTTTCCTCTGGCAGAGATTATGTTGTTGTTGTTAGGAGCCATTGAGTCGGTTCTGACCCACAGCGAGCCTATGTCTAAAAGCACAAACCACCGCCTGGTCCTGTGACGTCCTCACAATGTTGCTGTGCTTGCGCATGTGTGCGTGCAGACAGTACAGAAGCACATTTTTACAGTCAGGGGGACTAGAAGACTCCTACAAAATGTTCTGGTCTTAAGCCTGTCATTAATTTAAATATATACTTTGGACCAATCAAAAAACTGTCGTGGACTTAGGTGGCCTCATCTTTAAAGAAAATTGTCTGGTACAGCACACAGAGTCACTTGTGTTTGAGATGCACTTTAGAAAAGGAGTGGAAATCACTGTTGTTGAAAGTGAGGAGAAAAATAAGCTTCTTTCAGGGATGCCCAGTACACTTGGCCCAGAGCCTGTAAGATGGAACAGGTGGAGAACAGGCACTTACCGCTCATCCTCCCTCATCTATGAAGGGGACTATGGGGGGGGGGGGGTTTGAAAGCTGCTGAGTATGTGCAGAGCCTGACCCTCACATATATCATTCAGTCTTCACATCAGCTATCGCAGGTAATACTCAAACAAAAATTCAAACTCACTGCCACTGGGTTGATTTTGACTCAGATCAAGCCTAGCGGACAGGGTAGAACTGCCTCCCTGGGTGCCCAAGACTGTAAATGTATGGGAGTAGAATGCCTCATCTTTCTCCTGTAGACTGGATAAAGTTTTGAACAGCTGATCTTGTAGTTAGCAGCCCAACTTGTAACCAATCAGCCATCAGGGCTCCTTAGGTAATACTATCTCCCTTTAAAAGATGAGGCAGAGGAGCGTTTGATAGGCGTATTACTATGGAAAAATACACCGAGCCCAATCTATATTTAGGCCCATGCTCATTCCATTGCACATGCTGCCTCAGAACGGCATAGAACAAGCACTGAAGAAGACAAGTAACAGGACAGTGATGTAAAACTAAGGAGAGAAAATGTGCTAGCTTGTCTGCATTCCTCTAGAAGCAGTTGCTAGCAGAAAAGAGAAGCATAGAACAGAGGAGAGCACCGCAGCCATCCTCACAGTGGAGGATAAGAGGGTATGTATGGGAAGGTTTGGTGTGAGAGTCCACTTCACAGAGGAAGAAAGAAGTCACGGTCCTACAAGGGACTATGCATGGGGATTTTCAATTCAATGAGACTGAATCCAAGAACAAGTTGCATTCTTTAATATCCCATCCATAGATAAAGATAATCCTGAAATGTTGAGTTTCATTGTCTGGCAGGATTTGCTTCCAATAATGGGGACAGAAGGGGAGACTTGAAGGATTGCTAGTCTCTCAACTTTCTATCACAGACGTGAGTTGCACTAAGCCATTTATAGTGCTTTCTAATTTAACTGTTTATTTCTTGTATTATATATTTATCTGTATATGATTTAACAGTTCATTTCTCATTATATATCTAATTATCTTTATAAATAAATATATTATATTATCAGGAATTTGGTTTTATTTCTCTAGAGAACCCTGTCTAATACAGGGCGGGAACTGATCACAAGGATCTGCATATGGCTCCCTCTCTGGGGGATGGACGGCAGAAAGGTGGGTGAAGGGAGACATTGGATAGTGTAAGACATGAAAAAATAATAATAATTTATAAATTATCATGGGTTCATGAAGGGAAAAAAACGAGGAGCTGATACCAAGGGCTCAAGTAGAAAGGACATGTTTTGAGAATGATGATGGCAACAAATGTACAAATATGCTTGACCCAATGGATGGATGTATGGATTGTGATAAGAGTTGTAAGATTACCCAATAAAATGATTTAAAAAAGAAAGAAAGATGACCCAAACTAGTAAATATGTTTTATAGCCTAGGGTTTGGCAGGTATCTATGGTAGGACTACATCTATGGTGGAAGTTCTTGATTGCAGAACAAATGCTTTATTAACTAATACCAAAAAAGGTGTTGGTATAATGCTCCAGAGTGAAACTAACCAAAAGAATAATGGCATGATAATATGAGGTGCAGATTGGAATCAAATAAGACTTCACTGGATAGAATTAAAAGAAAATGAAAATTTGACTTATATGCATACAAACTCTCTGGCCCAAAGGAATGAACTTGGATACAGACTGCATGTAATAAAGTCATTACGAAGAGAAGAATTGCATCAAGGGAATGACAGGTGGGTTTGTGGAGGAGAGAAATGTCTTAATATGGCTCTTCTATTAATTTCTCTGTTAACTCCCACAAATGATTGGATGGGACTATGTAAATAGGGCATGTGTAATAGTAATAGAAGGGAGTGATCAGTTTTCATTGTCACCCCACTGCCTGTAAGTATGAGCAGAGGCAGAGAGAGAAAGTCCAGGACCACTGGAAAAGCATGTTCCAGATCTCTGCCTCAAGTGGCAAGACCAGAGACACCAGGTACGGTGGGCCAGAGGAGGAGGAACAGAGCCAAAACTATGGGACAGTGAGACAGAGGGGTTGCAGAGCTTCTTGACTCACAGAGGCAGAGGCCAAGAGAAAACATGGCTAAGGTGCTTAGGACCTGAGAGAGACTTGGCTGCTGGCTGAGGAGAGGTGTGGCTGTGGACCGATGACGTTATACTTATTGCTTACTGATCCTGATTTGTGGTAACCTATTAACTTCCCTAAGTGCCACAATTGTGAGGTTTTTCTGTGAGTTTTGGGTGGTCATTACAACAAATTATGGAATCCAACATAGAAGTAATGTTATGGGAGGAACAGTTGATGTCAGATTAAGTAAAGAAGGATGGAGCCTGGAGGCATGTCTGTTCCTTCCCTCAGGGGAACAGGGAAGTCAGATATGACCCCCATGCTATTTACTACAGAGTAATCATTTTGTTCAATGAAAAATACCACAAGCGTGGCACCATCTGAAAAATGAAGTGTTCCAGAATTCTGTACTTTGACATGACTTACACTCTCATAACCTAATTCTTTAGGCTGCATTTATAATTGAGTGTGAAAATAGCAGGTATGATTACTCCAATATTCCACCACAGATTGCATAGGACATGCCTGGTCTATGGTAAAAGCACAGTGCGCATTTGCTCCTGTTTTCCTCAGGGAATGTTGTTATGTTAGGTGAGGATAACATAACCTGGCTTGCTGAAAGTGAGGAAGACTTGCAGCACTTGCCGATGAAGATCAGGAGACGATAAGCAAGAAAAATTTAGATGTACTGAAGTCTGTTTCTTAATTTTGTTTATGTTAAAGACTTGCTCATAAGAAGATACAAATTGCAAGTAAGAATGTGGAACTTGAAGAAGAAATGCTAGTAAGAAGTATGCTATAATGTATTTGGCTTAAATACTATCTATAGTAACTTGTTTAATCCTAAAAACATCTGTCATTTATGATCCCTATTTTAGAGATGAGGAAACTGAGGTACAGGAAAAATAAGTAACTTGTCTAAAATCGTATGTCAGGCATAGAGCAAAGAAGTTAAAGTATATAATCAAAATGAAATATAAAATTCTATGAATATTAGACTGACCCACAAGAAATCACCATTCCTGTAGGTCAAGGTCTACAGCAGGATGCTGGTAATTTCATGTGGTTCAAACTAGAAAATGGGAACATGGGATTCTTTAATAGTGCACATTAAACAAATGTAGAATGCTAGGCATTCTTGTAGACAGTGATGCTTCAAAGTTAAACACCATGACTGCTGCGTGCAAAATGACCTTGACTAAGAAGAAGAGATTACGTCAACAAGAATTACAATGGACTGTGATGCTTGCTGTAATGTAAGTATAAATCAATGATTCTTAAACTTGGAGCAACAGAACCAGTTCTAGTCCATTTTATCATTCAGATCTCCTATCCAAGAGTCTGGAAGAACAATGGGGCTTTCTTCTCCCATAAGGGTTACAGTCTCTGAAACCCAAAGAGGCAGCTATCTCCTGTCTGACAGGGTCACTTTGAGTCAGCATCCACTCAGTGGCAGTGAGTGAGAGTGAATATCCAAGAGTCTGGATCAATATCAATATCCTGGATTGGGCATTTGAAAAATAGTAACTTTGGAAAACAAGTATGTTGAAAATAGTACAGACTTTGTGTGTCATTATAGTACATTTATATGTTTCTCAAAAGTTTATGTCCATGGAATAAAAGTGGGTAGATTGCAATCTATCTGATTTTCTGTAAAGTCCCAGGTCCCATTAAAGCCCGATGAAAGCTGTGGATGTCTTTGCATAAAAGTGCACACATGTGGTAGGGGATCTGCAGAACAGTGAACAAAGAGTTAAACATTCATGGATTGAAGAATATTGCTGAAAAGAATAAACTTTAACATAAGAAGCAGGGTGTCTTAGTGGTAGAGTGTATAAGTGCTTGGCTGCTAACAGGTTAGGTTGTCAAACCCACCAGACCAACTTGGCAGTCTGCTTTGGTCAAGATTTACAGCCTTATAAATCCTGTGGGGTCAAACATACTGACTTCAGTGTCCATATACAATCCCAGTCCAATAATAGTTCAGGTTTGTAGGAATGCTATCCAGTTCATACAAGGCTTTCAAAGCCTGGAGGAAATCTCCAGTGGTTCCAGCATGGGCTAACCCTCGCCTCTCCAAACCATCGCCGCCTTATTTCTGGTTTTATACCTACATTGAAATAATCATCTGGGTAGAGAATGCTCTTGAAAAACTAATTAAACCTGCTCCCTATGATGATATCTTGGTGATCGAGAAATGTATTTTAAAAGCATGTTATGAGACTTACTGACACACATTATGAGAGCTGTAAAAAGCCCTTCTGCCTATTGGTTTAAGCTGGCTGATAGATTCCTATCAACAGTGGTAGGGATCACTATTTTTGTGACAAAGTAGCAAAACCACTTCCAAACACCCCAGATTCCCCTCAGTTTTAGAAAGGCAACTCACACGTCATGGCACTGTGTTGTGTCGTACCTGGTTAACCAGCATACAAGCAAGACCACCAGGGGCAGCCCTAGTGTTCACACTTACCAGCCATGTGAGGCAGCCTGTTAACCTCTCTGGGCCCCCTAGTATTCTTATCTCTCAAATAAGAATAATCATGCCCCCCTTAACTCTTGTGCAAGATTGTGGTAAATTCCAGATGGAAGGGACATTGGAACGTACTGTGTTAGCTGTAAAATACCACACAACCAGATGTTTTGTGCTGACCACCAGATCTTGACCATCCTGGTGTACACACTGAATATGATCCTGAAGAAGAATCTCTTGGTTAAAAATGAGATGATGTCTAATCAACTAGAGAGCTGATACTGAGTACATAGATACATGAACACAACATACATGTGCTAAATGTGGGTGTTATCATCGGAATTCATTTTCCCCTTATCAGTAAAGTCATGTTACTGTGGGTCAGTGAATGGACACATCCTCATTGCCTAGAACTGAATGTGAAATAATTTTTTATTAAAATAGGATCCTCCCACATCATTATTTAGATATTAATTATGTGAGCTTTGATAGCAGATAGCAGAGCTTGGTACAATATAAAATTGTCTTTTCATCTGGCTGATCCTCATGTGGGTGCTCCTGTGATGCAGCTTGGAGCATGGTGGTCATTTAAGAGCCCGGCCAGCTCCAGCCCCCTACTACCCTCCCCGGTGTGCACATCTGGTCCAGAGGAACCTGGATGGAGCTACATAGCCCTTCCCTGCAGAAAATGATCTCAAACGTCTTTGAACATTTTCATACATCAAGGACATCATACTTTTCTAGAAATTTCAAGCATATAATTTTAACCTACATTTTCTCTGTGTTCCAAAATTATAACAAAGACATGAAATTGTTTCAGATGCATTCCCCCTAACAAATTTTTAAGTGGCATTTGCTATAAATTTTAAAAATTTATAACTATGATTGCATATGAATATCAAGTAAAACAATTTATTTGGCATTTTTTAAAAGTCTGGATGGAGTAAGTATATATCTAGATTAATTATCAAATTTTACTTTAATTTACTTTTTAAAATTTACTTTTACTTTTATACTTTAAAGTATAAAAGTATAAAATAATTTTTTAAAATCTGGATGCCATAAATAAAGTTCTATTTTGGTTAAAAAAAATCCTGTGGGGGTAGTTCTATAGTGCCTATAGCTGTCCTATAGTGCCTATCGTGTCCTATAGTGCCTATCGTGTCCTATAGTGCCTATCGTGTCCTATAGTGCCACCATCAGTTGGAAAGGACTAGACAGAAGTGTGTTTTGTTTGAATTCGTTTAAAGATAAGAGGCTTACTATGTGGATTTAAGAAAATTGCTGATTAAAGTGAATTAAGGTTTTAGCGCAGGAGCACGCAGAACAAAGTGGTGTGGGAACTTCGGGGGCTCACTTGAAGGGACCGAGCAAAGCATTTAGAGGGCGCGGCCATCATTACGACAGAGACAGCTGAAGTGATAGCGCAAACTTGGAGTCCTTGCCGGAAAAGGCAGAAAGGTACATGAGAAGTGATGCCCCTGGTATGAAACTTCCTGATATTTGGAAATGGCGACATCTCTAAATGTTCTGTGAGCAAATACCAGGAGAAAACAAACTCCAGTGGAGGAACAAGGAGAACACAGAGCATGGAGCAGAGAAAAAGGGAGTTTCATGAACATCTTCATATGGTCCACTTTCTCCTTACCCGAATTGAGAGCAGCCTTATAAAGTTTGAATATGCAAACATTTCTTCATTAGAGTTATTGTCACGGCCAATGCCAATGTGCATGCTTAAAATTCAGTATCGAGCCAAGTGCTTTGCTGCATCTCCTACAATATCACTTCTGTCCTTTTCCATTTTCAAGTCTCTTTCATGAAAGCCATTAGTACTTTTTGCTCACCTTGGAAACAGAGGCAGCGTTACTGTGGCTGTGTTCCTACGGTTCCTAGCAAACCCTTCTTAAGGACAATCTTTGTGTTATTGTTATTCTTTCAGTTTCTTTTTCTGCTTCCGTAATTAGTAGTATAAAAAAATGACCCCTGTTCGGGAGATCTGATGACAGCAGGAGCTTTGCCATCTCTCTCCATTCCTTTCTTTTCTCCCTTCTGATAATTATAGACAGCCATTCCATTGACCTTATTAATTATGAAAGACCAAGATTAGCACCATGGGCACAGTTCTCAGCTACGAGTATAGTCACACGGAAAGCAGTGATGACATTTGCTGGGTCCTTACGACACTAAAGCAATCGCAACAGGAATGTGAGTTCCAGCCTTACTCGCACAGGAACGGGATGCTGTACGCTGCCTCTGTCTAGAGTGAATTGAATACATTGGATACACAACATTTAGATTTATTATATCTATTCACAATGTAGCCTATAATGCACATTCAGCAATGTGTGATTTATGAAATAAGATTTTATTTACACATACCTCTGTAGGAGTCTGTTGAGCCTTTTTTTCAGATTTTGGCAAGTCTTTACTTCCTCTTCTTTTTAAAGATAACTGAAACAAAGCATAAACACATTTAGTTTGGTGAAGACTAATTTTCATTCCATTTTTATTCTTTTAAGGCCCTTAATGTTGGGCTACTAGTTACAAGATCAAGAGTTCAAAACCACCAGCTGCTATAAGGGAGAAAGACTGGACTGTCTACTCCTGTAAAGTATTACCATCTTGGAAACTCACAGGTACAGCTCTACCCTGTGCGGTAGGATCCTTCCTTATGAGTCAGAACTGACTCTTTGGCAGTGAGTTTTTGTGTGTGTGTGTGTGTGTGTGTGTGTTCTTAAAACTATTGTGGGTTCTAATATGACAATGATATCACATGCAAAGAAAGTCTTTTGAAGATAATTAAGACACAGTTGCAGAAGCACATCAACAGGGAGTTGCCAGACAGTCAAGCTGGATTCAGAAAAGGACATGGAAGGAGGGATACTACTGTCAGTGTCAAATGGATCTTGGCTGAAAGCCCAAACTACCATATTTACTTTCAATTGTATGGATGCATCTAATTGTATGGATGATAACAAACTATGAATTACATTGAGAAGAATAGAATTTCCAGAACAATCAATTTTACTCATGAGGAATCTGTCTACACACCAAGGGGAAGGCAGTTTTTCCGAGAGAATCAGAGAATATTGCACGACTTAAAATCAGGAAAAATGTGTGCCGGGGTTGTATCCTTTGACCACATTTTTTCAATCTGTATGCTCAGCAAATAATCTTGGGAGTTGGATTATATGAAGAAGACGGTGGCATGGGGTCAATGAAAGGTTTATTAACAACCTTCAGTTACTCTTCCCGAAGGGATATCTATCTTAGTTTTCATGTACTGAATGATCTTAATTATACAAATGAACATACAGAAGTGTAACATGATTAATAAGGTAAAATGAAAACTATAATAGTAAGAGGAGGAAATACTAGAGAACTAGAGAAGAGTTATGTGCTTCATCAGTGCTACACCACACCCTAGATTTATCATCCCTTCTGTCTGGCCCTTCTGAGAGGGACTGTCCAATTAATTTGCAGGTGGGTTTTGGGTCTCCACTACATTCCCACCCCTTCACTTCTATTTGGTTGCTTGGTTTTGAACTTCTGATACCTTTTTCCAACAGGCTGGTGTGCTTCTTCCATGTGGGCTTTGTTGTTTCCCTGCTAAATGGCCGTTTGTTTGATTACAAGCCTTTAAGATCCCAGACACTATATCTTGATAGCTAGGCACCATCAGTTTTCTTCACCACATTTGCTTGTACACCCATTTTGTCTTCAGCAATTGTCAGGAATGTGAGTATCATACAATGTCACATTAGCAGCTGATAGCACTGATTACTGGATAACCCCACTTGAAGGGAGAGAACAACAGAAATGTACATAAATGGATATATTGCCTGGTGTAAGATACGGCCAAAATAATAATAATAATAAATAATAATAAGGATTTCTAGAAGGAGGGAGGGGATAATGGGGAGCTGATACCAAAAAGTTCAAGAAGAAAGAAAATGTTTTGAAACTGAATGTAGTAGCAATTCTATAATACTGCTTGATGTGATTGAACTATGGAATGTTAAGGTATCTGTAAGAGCTCCCAAGAAAATGATTTTTTTAAAAGGAAAAAAAACTCCACCAACAATCTTCAATATAAAGATAACAAAGCCTTCCTGAAAGTGATGAGGACGTAAGCACTTGCTAATAAAGATCAGACTGTAGATTGATACTCAATGTAAAGAAAACCCAAATCCCCACAAATGACAAATAAAGAATTTCATAGTAAACGGAGAAAAGATTGAAGTTATCAAAGATTTCATTTGACTTTAATCCACAAATCAGTGCTCATGGAAGCAGCAACCAATAAATCAATCGACCTATTGCATTGGGAATATTTGCTGTAAAAGACCTTTTTAGAGTGTTAAAAGAGCAGAGATGTCACATTGAGGACTTAAGTGCAGCCTTGCCTAATCCGCAGTACTTCCAATCACTTTAGCATGGTTTGTTAGTCACTGGAAGTGAATAAGGAAGACCACACAATTGATTCACTTGAAGTACGGGGCTGGGAAAGAGTATTAAATGGATTATCCATAGACTGTCTGAAGAACAAACAAAAGCCAGAATACTGCCCGGAAAGGAGGATGGTGACTCTGTCTCAAGTATTTAGGACATGTTATCAGGAAAGCCTAGCTCCTGGAAAAGGACATCCTGCTTGGGAAAGCAGAGGGTCATTGAAAACATGAAGTCCTCGATGAGATGGATCCACACGGTGGCTGGAACGATGAGTGTGAACATATCAGTGGTGAGGACGGCGCAGGACCAGGCGGTGGCTCCTTCTGCTGTACTCAGGGTCATTTGTGTTGGGAGTGGCTGGAAGGCACTCAACCAGGGATGAAACGCAACTCAATGCCATCTAACAACAAACACCAGTGTGACTTGACAAACTCAAGCCCGATACAAAGAATGATCTAGTTCTTTAATACTTCCTTCCCCCACTATCATGACCCCAGGTCTACCGTACAAATCCGGCTAGACCACAGAATGTACACTGGTACAGAAAAGAGCTCTCAACACATGGAATCCAGGAGAGACAAACCCTTCAGGAACAACAATGGGAGTAGGATACCATAAGGGTAGGGGGAAGGTAGGGACAGAAAGGGGTCCCCATTCACAATGATCAACACATTACTCCTCTCCCCCTGACACACACACTCAGGGTGACAAACAGCAGAAACATGGGTGAAGGGAGACAGCGGATGCTGTAAGATATGAAATTAATAATTTATAATCTATCAAGGGTTCATGAGGGTGGGAGAGTTGGGAAGGGAGGAAAAAAATGAGAGTTGATACCAAGGGCTCTAGTAGAAAGAAAATGTTTTGAAAAGGATGATGGCAACATATGTACACACGTGCAGGACACAATGGATCGATGAATTGTTATAAGAGCTGTAAGAGCCCCAATAAAATGATTTTTTTAAAAAGAATGATCAATAACTACAAATGGGAAACTGCCCCAAATATGGTAGATTTAGATTGATATACACATCATAATTAGGGCATTATACTAGTTCTTTCTGGTTCAGTCATGGCTAACAAAGAGAAACCAGAATCAATACAAATTTGTAAAATTTGAGGGAACCAGAATGATGACCAGAATGGGAAAAATGATGGGTCAGTGCCCTACTAGAAACATAAATTGCCATCTTAGAAAACAAGGGCAGCACGTGTTGCACAGCAACCGAATCTCTTGACTGGCACAGTTGAAAACACCGATGCCCAGCTCAAAGGTGATGATTGAGCAAGTTGTCTAGGTGCTTCTCTCCACAGCTGTTACAATATTCAACATCCTGCTTCAGGGTCCTGAAACGAATCTCTCTACCTGTTTGGTGACTCCCATCTCAGGGCTTCAGCCTAGGATTCACTATCATGATCCCAATTTTACCTTACAAACCCAGTTAGACCAGATGTACAGAGGTATAGATCAGAGCTAGAAACGCAGGGAATCCAAGACAGATAAAGCCCTCAGGACCAATAATGAGTGTAGCGATACCAGGAGTGGAAGGGGAAGGTCGGGGAGAAAGGGGGACCAATTACAAGGATCTACATATAACTCCATCTCTGGGGGATGGACAACAGAAAAGTGGGTGAAGGGAGACGTCAGACAGTGTAAGACATGACAAAATAATAACTTATAAATTATCAAGGGTTCATGAAGCAGGGAGGAGAGGGGAGGGAGGGGAAAAATGAGGAGCTGATACCAAGGGCTCAAGTAGAAAGAAAATGTTTTGAGAATGATGATGGCAACAAATGTACAAATGTGCTTGACACAATGGATGGATGTATGGATTGTGATAATAGTTGTATGAGCCCTAATGAAATGATTTTTTAAAAATGTGGGTTGGGAGGTGGTATGGCATTAATTCCAGTTTTGGAGTTACTATAGTTTGTAAAGACAGACTTTCCATGAGTTTATGCAGAATGAAAGAATTACAATCTTTCCTCATGCAAACATCCATGCAAACACACACAGTGTTTATACACACATAAACACAGATCTGGGGCATAGAATAGGGGATGTTATTGTTGTTAGGTGCCATTGCGTGGGAGCTAACCCATAGTGACCCTATGCACAACAAAACAAAATATGGCCTGGTCCCACGCCATCCCCCCAATTGTTGTATGTGTGAGCCCATTACTGCAGCCACTGTGTCAATCCATCTCATCGAAGGCCTTCCGCTTTCACTGCCCCTTCACTTTACCAAGCATGATGTCCTTGTCCAGGGGCTGGTCTCTCCTGTCAATGTGTCCAAAGTATGTAAGATGAAGTCTTGTCATCCTTGCCTCTAAGGAGCACTTTGGCCGTACTTCTTCCAGCACAGATTAGTTTGTCCTTTTAGCAGTTCATGGTACTGTCAGTATTCTTCGCCAGCACCACAATTCAAACGCATCGATTCTTCTATGGTCTCCCTAATTCCCTCCACCATTTGTCTGTCAGTTTCTCATACTGTGGTGGCCTGTGTGTTGCTGGGATGCTGGAAGCTATGCCACTGGTGTTTCAAACACTAGCAGGGTCACTCAAAATGAACAGGTTTCAGTGAAGCTTCCAGACTAAGAACAGACAGTGAAGAAGGACTTAGCACCCCACTTGGGAGAAAAAAGCCCCTGAAACCCTTACGCATAGCTTCAAAGCACTGTCAAATACGGAGAGCCTTAACAAAGGTTTCCCATGTGGAAGGTGAGAAACACCTTCCTGTCTCCATAATGGAAGTAGGGTCACTATAGAAATGGGATAGATGATGCTGAAAGATTGAGGTCAGCATGTTGAGGTGAGAAATTTAGACTTTATCCTGTGGGCAATGTTAAAATGAGCCTCGTAAATTAATATCCGAGATATGCTAAAACCAGGTCATTTTTTCCTAGGAGGCACTGTCTATTATATTTCATTTAAATACCAATCAGGAAGGGTGTCGAATTCAGACAAAGCTCTGTACAAAGATTTCTTCTTGTAGAAA